CACTGCACTTCATACTGTTAAACATCATGCCATTTCATTTTAACGTTCTTTATTAATTAAGCCAATATATCAAATGACAGAATTAAGATTTAAAGATACCGCCGATCCCATAAGATATACATAAGACCACGTATTAATCTTCCATCAACAGTGCTCCCTTAACTCAAATCAATGTCCACAGGAGTCTCCTGTTCTTTACTTCTCTTCCGTTCAGTCTCCGACAGTTCCTTCACATCTCCAACAATGTTAAACTTTTGTGATTCTTCATTTCTATAAAATATTTTACCCCTTCTTCCCCCTACCCCGAGCACTCAGTATAATACAAATCTGTCTTCTACTCCGTGTTTAAATTTTCAACTTTATTCCATTTCTACTGCTCCATTCCACATGATTATTTCAGTCGTCCTGTAGAAGGATCTGGTCTTCGTCTTCCACCCTGGCAATAGCCCATCAGCTTAGTGTCATCTGCTAATTTCATCAGGACACATCTGGTTCAAATACTAAGCTTGCTGATAAAAATGGTAAATGTGACAGGTCTCAAGACTGCTCCCTGAGGAACATCGCCGGTGACTGCTCTCCAGTCAGATAATTCATCTTGCAACCTGGACTCCTGGAAGCCGCCTTGCTAAGGGTATGACACACACGGGGCGGACCTGGGGGGCAGGAGGGGTGGGGTGCGCACTCTTTGATTCCTGGCCCATCCAAAGTTTAAAACAAACTACCTGGCAGTGGCAGCAGCATTTCTAGTCCAGCAGTGCTGAGAGATTCACTTGATTTTCTGGCTCATTATAATCTCCCTGATTCCTTCTACCTCGTATTCCAGGGGTGTTAATGATCCTCTCTTCTTTTGAATGGTCTTGATGATCCACCAATCAAGCTACCCTTCGTTCTGCAGCTGCCGTCTGTGAGCTGCTCCTGGTAATGAAGCTCCTGCAACCTTTCACAGCCCTGCAGATCCTTTTTAACTCATTCTGTCAAAGTTAAATTTGTCGCTTCAATCTGAAAGTGAAAGATACAGCCTCCGGCTCCTAGCATCTTAGTAAAGCTTCTAGTTTATTTTTAAGTAGAGAACAAAAATGTGTGTTGTTTCATATGTGATAATGCACCACAGCATCTGCACCCCTTTCCAAAGTTTTAGATTTGCCCATGGACACATGCGTACTTGGAGCTGTTTCAGAAAGGGAGGGGGGCGCTCCTGCTCCACACCTGGCAGCCTGAGTTACCTTCCTACTGCTCCATTCCACATGATTATTTCAGTCGTCCTGTAGAAGGATCTGGTCTTCGTCTTCCACCCTGGCAATAGCCCATCAGCTTAGTGTCATCTGCTAATTTCATCAGGACACATCTGGTTCAAATACTAAGCTTGCTGATAAAAATGGTAAATGTGACAGGTCTCAAGACTGCTCCCTGAGGAACATCGCCGGTGACTGCTCTCCAGTCAGATAATTCATCTTGCAACCTGGACTCCTGGAAGCCGCCTTGCTAAGGGTATGACACACACGGGGCGGACCTGGGGGGCAGGAGGGGTGGGGTGCGCACTCTTTGATTCCTGGCCCATCCAAAGTTTAAAACAAACTACCTGGCAGTGGCAGCAGCATTTCTAGTCCAGCAGTGCTGAGAGATTCACTTGATTTTCTGGCTCATTATAATCTCCCTGATTCCTTCTACCTCGTATTCCAGGGGTGTTAATGATCCTCTCTTCTTTTGAATGGTCTTGATGATCCACCAATCAAGCTACCCTTCGTTCTGCAGCTGCCGTCTGTGAGCTGCTCCTGGTAATGAAGCTCCTGCAACCTTTCACAGCCCTGCAGATCCTTTTTAACTCATTCTGTCAAAGTTAAATTTGTCGCTTCAATCTGAAAGTGAAAGATACAGCCTCCGGCTCCTAGCATCTTAGTAAAGCTTCTAGTTTATTTTTAAGTAGAGAACAAAAATGTGTGTTGTTTCATATGTGATAATGCACCACAGCATCTGCACCCCTTTCCAAAGTTTTAGATTTGCCCATGGACACATGCGTACTTGGAGCTGTTTCAGAAAGGGAGGGGGGCGCTCCTGCTCCACACCTGGCAGCCTGAGTTACCTTCTAGCACTTGTGTGTGCACAAGCTGGGTGTGATACGAATATAGCAAAACAGCTATATTATACACTATAGCTATAGCTTTAACACTGCTTCATCCAGGGGTAAAGTTGGAGCAGTTTTGCTACACTTGTACAGTTCCCCACTCTTAGGACATAAAAGCTCAGGGGTAAGCAATTATTTGGGCTGTATTGGTCAGCTGTTGCAGACCGGGGATGGAGGAAATTGATCCTATCTGGCCCCAGGCCGGTCTGCCCTGCACCCACTGCTGGGGGTGCCGGATAGAGCGGGTGGATAGGTGGAGCCGCGATGGAGACCAGCCCAGGACCCCCGTGGGCAAGGTGCACTCAGCTGGGCAGATGGGATGGGGCCGTGGGCAGGCAGGGAGCAGCTTCTGGGAGCAGGATGGGTGACCGGGACTGGGATTGCAAAGTGGTGATAGCATGGGGCCGGGGCCCGGAGCAGAGCTGCAGCGTGTTTCCCACATGTCCCTGTGCCTGGTGCCAGTTCCACAGGCAAGGATGTGCGGGGAACGGGTTGTGGTTCTTCCCCGTGCCCCAGCCCCACACTGTCACTGCCCTGCAATCTTGGCCCCAGCCCTGGCTCCCACCCGCCAATCCTGCTCCCGGACCCCGCCCCCCCCGCGCTCATCCCATCCACTTGGCCAAGGATCCCACAGGGGTCCTGGGCTAGTCCCCGTGAAGACCCCACCCACCCACCCACCCACTCTGTCCAGCGCCTCCAGCGGTGGGTAGGGGTGGACAGACCAGGGTGCCCAGGCAGTGGGGCCAGATCCGGTGGTGGTGGCAAAGACACTGGCAGAGGAAGCTGGGCAGGCTGAGGCACTGCCATGGTGCCCGCGGGCCATATTTTGCCCACCCGTGTAATAGCTGCTCCTGATTAGCAACTCCCTTTTGTGAAACGTTCTCCTTTTGAAACAGCTCCAAAGACATATTTGTCCGTGCCCTGAGTCAACTCTCCACCTTGCAACTATAGCACTGGTGCTCATCCTTCCCCAGCCTGGCCAATAATTTCCCATGAAGCGCAGTGTCAAAGGATTTGCCTAAATCTAGATCAATTAAATCCCTGTTATCCAAAAAGTCTGTTATTCGGTTTTAGGAGGACATTAAGTCATCTGGCACAATCGTCTTCAGATCAGGTTTTATTTTTTGTCCCATTTTTCATTCACTTCCATATCAAGTCTTTCCTCCAGGACCTGGTCTAAGAGCTTGCGCACTGCTGAAGTCCAGCTAACAAGCACCTGTAATTGCCTTGGTCCCTATCCATTCCCAGGCCTGCACTTGAGGGTCCATAACAAATTTCTAGCACATTTCCTCTAAGGTCCTTTTTGTTATTCCTGCTTAATAGGCTTTTCACTCAGTTTGTCCTGCCTATGCCATCTCATCTTATTTCCCTGTGGTCTCCCTCTTCATTAAAGTGCAGTGCTACCATACAGCTGATATTCTTATTTCTCTCCTCCCTATAGTTTACATCTTTCAATAACTGCATTCCAGTCATGCCTATTATTCCCCATTCGCTCCCGTTATTCCTATAATGTCAATTTGTTTCTCACGCCAGGAACTCTAGCTGCTTCATTTTATTGCCTATATTCCTTGCGCTGGTGAACAAGCATTTGTTTCCATCTATCCTGACCCAAGCTGCCAGCTGGGGTGCATGTGATCGATTTATTTCCACTTACGTAGTTGTCTTCCACTCTTCAGTGCTCCTTCCTTTGTACTTCATATGAAGCACTTGGTTAGCAGGACTAATACATGACACCTGCTCAAAATGCGTCAGGGAAAATTGGAAAACAAAATTCCTGCAGTCCCTGGAAGGATGGTCAGCATAGTGTAATGAGCCCGGGCCCATTATAGGTAATCAGGCTGAGTAATTTCTCAGGGAAAAGCCCTGCTTGCACTAGCCACGTAAACTCAGATAAGACAGAAGAGCTGTTTGGGCAACGGACCTTTCTGCTGCGCTTCTGGAGTGCGTGAAACTCCTAAACCTGACTCTGTGCTTTGGACCACTAGCTTATGACACCTTACTTATTCCTGATTGCTCCTGTTCCACTCTTGGACCTCCAGCCTGGATCAACCGCTTGTACTGACTACAACCTTGTCTTTGACTTTCGACTTGATATCCTGAACTCCGGCTGATACCTGGTTTGACCCCGAGCTCCAGTAACCTCTTGACCTAGCATGCATCACTCAGACTGACCACCCATAACTCAATCACTCCCTTACACATAGGCCAACGGGACAGTAAGCACACTGTGACCTCAGGATCTGGCCTTCTTTCATCATGTTCAATGTTCAGAGGAGGCTCCGGAAAAAGCAAGATGCATCTGAAAGAACTGCTCATCAAGAAACATCTCAAATATATTACATTTATTAAAGTTACATGTTCATCCCAAATCTAGCAGCCCTTTGGACTATAGGGATGAGGCATGCCGGTTTTTATAGCCAACAGCCTACAATGGAGTGATGAGTCTGCCGTCACCTCCTGCTGCCTTCAGCTCCCAAGTCCAAATGACTAGGGACCTTTTCATAACTGGGTCAAATGGGGGCAGCCTCCCAAGAGTTAGCAAGAGTCTTAACAAGGCTCAGACTTGCACTGCAATTGCTGTCATAGGATGCTTTAACCTTACTGCCACCATGTCCCCAATTGGCATAATCTACAACCACGGCAGAAGGGTGTGACCTAAGAGATAGAGCGCTAGATTAGGACCCCTGAGATCCGAGTTTCACTCACATAGCTACTTGCTAGTTAAATCATCACCCCATTCAGTGCCTTGGTCCCTTTCCCTGAAATAGGAATAATGCCTCCTTTTAGAGGTCCTGTTAAGAAGCTAGGCCATCTCAGTCATTTTCTCTCACACATACCGATGATATCTGAAAACAGTAAGACACTTCAGAACATGGATTTAATTGGATTTATTGGAGGAAAACAAGTAGTTGTCCCTTCAAATTATCATTATGATAGAAATATTGATATGTATACATGATTGTCAAGGCAGAGAACCATTTGCGATGTAGCCCCATTAACAATTTGCAGTATCGCAAACTCATTACGCAGATTAAACTTTTTGCAATGCCTTAGTACATGCACGGAGTAGATACACAATTTCCCTTCTTTTGGATAAGGATGTTGTTATGAAATTATATCAGTCACAAGACCTATAATATTAGGCACACTGACATTCCTGGATTAAAACGGTAAGCTTTTTTCTTTGTTTATAAACCATGCTTGCATCTTTGTTAAAAAATAAAAGATTAAGAGATGTTTTGCAGCCATGTGCTTCTTGGGGACTCATTCTTGTTTGTTGGCTCTGGGTGGCCTGGGTGTTTTTGTCCCAAATCAAATATATATGTGTGTGTGTGTGTGTGTGTGTGTGTGTATACACACACACATTTTTTTTTAACAAAAAGCAAGACTTACTGAAATGTTGCTTCTCAATGAGAAGCAAGCACTTAGTGGAATGCTACTGTCCATGTTGGAAGAGAAACACAAGTCACACGCTAACTCTCTCCCGGAGCTAATGACCTGGTTTGATATTCTGCTCAAGCATTTAGGGTATCGGGGCTGCGAAAACAGGACATGAATCACGGGTTGGTAAATTCTGACATGGCTTCTCTCTGAAGGCAAGATTCAGCCTGTGAGGCTTGGCTGTGTTCACTGTGTGCGCACAGGCAATGTGGGGGCCATTAGGAGGTCTCCTAAGGGAGAACTTCACCCAACGGCTCCCAGGGGACACACAGGACAGCAGGACTCGGTTTCCCTTGTGCCCTGATTCGACATGTAATTGTGTTTAACTTTAGGAACACATGAGCTCTATTGACTTCAAGGAGACATGCCCAAGTGCTTTGCAGAACTGAGGCTTTGGAGAAGGTAAACCATACCCCTTACTACTCTGTCCTTCTTGGTCAGGTTCTGGTAAGCTCTTGGGCACAACTCTAAGTCCCAAGCATGACTCTGAAAGGAGTTATGCCTTTCCTACACCGCACTTGGGTGTGGGCTTCCATGCTCTTTGCAGGGAAGTGGACTGTGAAGAAATGATCAAACACATCTGATTGAAAAAGAATTTCATAGCTCTTTCAGTTGGCTCCCTTTGCAGATCTGTAATACATGCTACAGAAACCGAGAGCCATCAGGCACGTCGTTCTCTCACCTCGAAGAATAAGTTGAATGGGATTGCTCCAAAGTTACTCAGAACATCATCCTGTCTCAGAAAGGTTAATCATGTATAACGTGATTCAAGGGGACGATCAAACAGAAGAATCGTTCCCGTGCAGTAAGAAAAATAAGGTTGACCCTTTTGAGGATGAATGCTGGCGGGATCGCAGGGACCATGAAAGGTTAAATGCAAATTGAAGCAAAAAACACAATGGGGTGATCTGGCCCTTGAGACTTTGGAAATCACACACATTTGAGATACCCCACAATTAGCTCGGTCCACTTGCAGAGCTCGAAATGCTCACAGCATTTGGGTTCCAAAGATACAGGGCGTTCTGCAGCAGATGTGCAAAAAGACAAATTCCCAAGAGTTTGTAGGAAAAGGAGAAATTATATGAACAGACTGAGCCAGTTTGAGGCTTGATGTTCTCTTATAAGTAAAAAAATAAAAACCAGCTATATTAACATGCAGCCTTGGCTAGCCTCAGGGTAGAGCAGACCCTGGCAAAGGGGTTTAACTGCAAGTGCAATTCTTAAAAATCCTTTTCTGGGGAGAATCCCTTTTATTTCCCCATACCTTGACATGCATAAGACTGCTGCATAGGCGCGAGTCCCTCTAAATAGCGGGTCTTCCCATAAGAGCTGCATGGCATCCAATCGGAGAACAACATACATTCTCAGGCTTTGCAGTGGTTGTATACAAAACACCAGCGTTAGCATTTAGCACAAGGTAACAACGCGTTCCAGATAAACACAGGCATTTCAAAACTGAACTGGATACAAACCCCAGGGGGCTGGGTCAGAACGGGCTTAAAGGAAAGCTCTGGGAAGTGGAGAAACAGCACAGTTCAACACATGCAGCGCAGTATCATGCATTTATTGGACAAGCTTGATGTCATCATTAGTTCAGCAATAGTTTTCACCACACTTAAGAGTGCCTGTGCCCTGTTTGCACGGAGCAATGTTGGAGCTGTTCATTTAACCTTGTTACTCACTCCTAGAAAACAAAAGCAAACGCTCTGATCACCTGCTTCTTTTGCAGAGGTCCTGAAAAATCATTTCTGTGACTAAGAGGGTCTTATTCTTCATGACAGATCCGGTTGTTACAAGTTCGGTCCAGCGTGAAATTTGAAGAGGAACTGACATCCTGGGGTAAACTGTCAAAGATCAGTGAAATTTGTGTTAGGTGATCACCAAAGGAATAAATGCACACGTCGCGTACCTGACATGGATCACGTACAGAAACTGGAAATTTGGGATAATTTAAAAAAAAAGGGGAAGTGCAAAACTACTGCTGGGTGAATGATCCATAACGAATACTTTACCAGGTGAATTTCTGGCCACAAAATGTGTACAAGCAGCTTGCAATTATTTCCTTATTTATCTATTATTTGAAATTCTTTGCCAAATGATTCTTCACCTTAGCAATCGTTCTGCTCTGCTATACTTTGACTGGACATGGTAGTCACATGGGGTGTTTCTTGCTTGCATGAGGATAATTCTTCAAAATCAGGTTTCTGGTGTGAACGGTCAGGCTAATGAAGGCCAAATTCTCTTCCTAGGAATACGCTCTGGTGTTCACTTAGGCCCAATTCAGCAAAGCACGTACTTAAACAAGAAAGCCAGTAATCCTGGTAAAGTCAAGGGGGGCTTCTCAAGTTATGTGTTTACATACTTTGCTGAATTAAGGCTTCAGTGGACTCTGTCTGGGCAGGAAGCCCCGGGACTATCTGCTGAGAGCAAGCACAAACTTCCAACGCGTGCGTGTCTGTTTGCAACCTCAGCCCATACATGCTGCAGGATTCATGCAGCTCTGCCAGGGACGAGAGATGGAAGGAGGTGGAAACCCTGCCATAGGCTTCACTGTATCTGACAATTATAACTCAACTTCCTCAATTGCTCTTCAGGATATCCTCACTGCTGGCTAATGACTTAGCTGTTTGAGCTAGAGCAGAGGCTGGTTTCCTTGTGCCTCATCCTTTCTTTCTACTTCAGCCCACGGTGCAGCTCAAGGGCCTCTGCTGGCATGGAAGGCCCTCAGCAAGAGGGAAGGATGTGATCGATACCACAGCTCTCATGCACTGTAGTTTGCCAAGGGCTCTGCTGGGCATGAAAGTCAAGTATAAGGTTGTTGCTCTGTGATGATACAAACCCATCTGCCATTCTCCCCAATGGAGTAACTTAGCTCGAGGCTGCTTAGCCTGGCTGCTATGGGACAGCTCCAAAGATGTGTGAGGGTAAAACATTTTCCTCTGCATCTCTACCCCTTGTATCAAGATTCCCGGGACAAATGCAGGTCCCTTGGGCAGCTTGGCTATTTTCTATCAAGCTGGCATCCAGTTTTGGTTTCTAACACTTCACTTATGACATCACAATGACTATCATGGCAACCGAGAATGATGCCTTAATCACAAGATTATGTTGTTACTGAAGGATGAGGCAGGAGAGAGCGAAGAAAGATCTGTGAAGCACAAAAGCTTGGATTAGATACGACTCTTGTCAATAATAGCACGGGGAGCCCAGGAAATACCGGCCCAGAGGGTATTCCCCATTTCTTTTTAAGCTGGCTTCAGTGCTGAATAGTTTCTATTTTCAGAACCACTTAAAAGAATTATCCTTGCTCTCGTCATTTTTCCAGGTATTCTATTGTCACGTAATCCTTATCAGGAACGAACGGCGGTCCATTCTTATTTCATTTCAGCTCCAGACACACCAGAAGTGGGTGAAATCATCAAGCTTTTTTTTTCTGACCCCATGATTTTGATGGCACCTTCACAACAGCACCTAGCGCAGGAGAGACGTGAGCTCCGCAGCAATAATACAGTCTCAACAGAGCATCGTTGTCCATGTTCTGCCATCTCCCGACTTCCCCGCTAGCAGTGCTGTAAGGTCAGTATCCAGTTTGTGTTGCAGGAGGTGATCCAGTGGGACACTCAGGATGCACTAGGAAAAAAGTCAAATGCCAAGTCAGCAGTTTAGGCTCCTGACTCTGCAGAACTGACATTCAGTCTCGGAAGGATCCCAGGCAGACTCTTGTCTTTACAAGGTTTGCTGGGATTTTATTTTTTCCGACAAGAGAATTGGCATTGGCATCGAACATCTGCGACTCTGGAGGTAAAAATTCAACCATCAAGGTGACAGGCAAAGACCGAGAACGAGGGAATCCAGGAAAAACATTACACATCAGAAACACGATGGGGGCAGGATCCATTAAAGTAAATACAGCAGAAAAGCGTAACCGATGGATGGGGACCCTATGCGATGAATGAACCATTAATATTTTACCCTTTAGAGAGCAACCAGCAGGGCTTTATCCACATGTCCATGGCAAGACGCCTTGTGGACTTGTTTTGGTATTTTCCTGTTCTGTGGGGAGTTTTCATCCCCCTTCATCGTTTACATATTGCTGGCTTTTGCATTCATTTTAATACTGGTTTAAACGTTAATTGGCAGGCTGTTACTTTCCAGCCACTTATAGATTTGTCTGGTTATAACTGAAAAGATTTGACTAAGAAAAGGAGCAGATACAAGGGGGACTGACGACAGTAAACATTTCTGCTCTCTCTTCCGCACAAGCACCTGCCAAAACCCCAGCCACGCTTTTTGATACACAAAATAATTCTGGCAGGAAGAAACATTTTGCTTTTAATTACTCATATTCCTTCTCTTTGGAAACAGCTAACAGGTATTATTCTAACTAGAGTGCTGATAAAATTGCCCATGCTAGTAGAATACCAGCAGTAGTAAGACAAATCTAATTCAAAGCCCCTAATGAGACAGCCATTGCTCGATGAAATCATACGACTATTTTGCATCGAGGCGGTGTTGACCTATTGGACAGTGCCAGGGAGTTGACCCAAATCAAATGAAAAATGTCGTCTTCTGCAATGGCCTTGCCTTAACCTACAGGGCTTTTCTTTGATCTAAAGAAAGAACTCTTTCAAGATTTAGTAAGACAATGGGAGTTAACAGGAGTCTTACCACTAACTTCACTGAGACCAGTACAAGACATTTTAACTAAAAAATGAACAGCTATGGCTTTTTGAATTTACTATAAGTACAGAGTCATAACACCTTCTTGGCATGAATATCACAACTCAGGCATGTCACTGGAACATACTGGGCCAGCTGGTGAACACCAAAACAGCTCAGTTGATTCAGCTGACCTACTCACAAGTTTTACCAGCTGGTGACCTGGCATGTTTATGTGGTATACTGGGCAGATCTGTAGGGCTTAACAAGGTGATACACGGGAGTGTTGGATAGCCAAGCTGGAAAGTGTACTGAGCACTAATGTTTCATGGAGTCTATGTCATCATTATGGACTGAATGTCTGTGCTCGGTGTAATATGATACGGAGCTCCTTGGACTTCCTGGAGGTGACTGATTAAGTCATGCTCCAAATCTTGCTGAAAATCATGAATGGATTTATACTGAGGAAACTGAAATCTATTAGAGGCAATCTTTTTATGGGCCACTAACGAAATGACCAATTTGTAGAGTCAGCACTAAGTACCACCCCATTTTTGATCACCAGAGCGCCCCGAGGGATGACAAGGTTCAATGGTCACTAACTCCTTCAAGTCCGTTTTAGGCTGGGCATAAGGAAAAACTTCTTTACTGTCCGAGCCCCCAAGGCCTGGAATAGATGGCCACCGGAGGTGGTGCAAGCACCTACTCTGGACTTCTTTAAGAAGCGTTTGGACGCTTATCTTGCTGGGATCCTTTGACTCTAGCTGACTTCCTGCCCTTGGTGCAGTGGGCTGCACTCGATCTCTCGAGGTCCCTTCCAGCCCTAATGTCTATGAAATCTATGAACCTGGTTTTCTTGCCTCTCATGCTTCAAAAACAATGTGCGAAATCCTAGCTGCACGGAAGTGGATAGCCCAACTCCAAGCCCAGGAACAGGATATCAATCAATGCCTTTGATGTCTCAGTGAAAAGTGGGCATCTCATGGCTTTTCATAGCATGCTCATTGCACCAGGATACATTCAGATGTATCTGTAACTGGCTTTTTCATTTCATTATAGAAGGTAAGTAACATGAATATGGCAAACCAACAGTTTAAAGAAAAATTATTCATACCTCCACATAGTACGTGGAGATAGATCGGTTTGGGGTGAACAGGGCTGGGAAGGTTGACTTAAAATGTGCCTGTTCCTCATGAAGCTACCTTCTGCCTTTTTCATAGAACTAAATTTTGGGAATGACCTGTTAGAGATCTGGACATGACTTGCAAACCTTGCCAGTGCTGTGATCTCTGAACACTGTTGTCTAGGATGTTCAAGCACTTACTGTAGATTAGTAACAGTGGCCCTGTGTGTGATTTTTTTACTGGAAACTGGACATGAGAAATGCATGTACTTCAACAGCCAAGACCAGGAGATTCTGCTTTGATACGTGAACTAGGGGTGTGGGCATATTTTTTAAGTGGGAGCATCTTTATGACACCTTGAGCGTGCTCGTGTCATTTCAGAGACGTGCCCTCTGCAGCTCCGCTCTGCTGATTTTTTAGTCTGATCCTGCAGCCCTTAGTCCTCATAAGAATTAATAATACTTATACGTATCTATCGTGTTGGATATGAGAATCTCAACAGAGTTGGGTACAGATCATTATCCCCATTTTCCAACAGGGGAAACTAAGGCCAAAATGTTGTGAAGTGGATTTTGACTTTTGGTGCCCCAATTTCTGGAGACACTAAAAAAATCAGTGGCCACATTTGAAGATTTGGCTATAAGTTTCCCAAGGAAAGAAAAATGAGTCAGTAGCAGAGATGGGAACAGAACTCAGGCTCTGCACGCCCAGCTGGCAGAGCACAGGGCCTTCGAATGGGATTACCACGCAGTATCAGGACTGCTCAAAGGAGTAAGAGCTGCAGGCTTAGACCTCACGTCATTCCCTTTGCTGA